GAAAAACTGGCGAACATGCGCTGCCTGACAAACACTGGAGCAGGATCGCAGCAAAACTGAGGAGCCAAAGGGGAATCCTCCATCCTTACATTGATGGGCCATCCAGTACCAGGGTTGGTGCCAGGGGCTATGTCAAACCCACCTGGGTTTACAGCTTTATCACTGCCAGTGCAGAGTTCAGAGTGGGTGTACAGAGGAGACACAGGTCCATCAACTGGTCAGCCGACCCTACTGGAAAGGGAGATGGAAGCAGCAGCTAGAGCGATGCAAAGGGGTCTGGATTTAAGGGAGGGAGACAGAAGCAGGGAGAGGAGTGCGGGCCTCGTCGAGATGGGCCTCGGCCTGTCTCTTGTGAGCCCAACTTACACTTTTGCTGACCCGACCTTAACCCCGGCCACAGTTAATGAGCAGACCCAGGTGATCACCCCTCCGGCCCAACCTATTATCCCCACATCGGAAACAGTCATGGTTCCCACAGCAAAAGAAGAAAGGCCGAGGCCCGAGAAGAAGAGGAAACCGGAGAACAGGAGCCCAACGTGCACCTCCTTGCCCCAGCAAGACCCAATCTCTAACCTTTCATTTGATTCACTTTCTTTTGCCACAGGAGAAAACAAAAGGACTTACCAGAGAAGGAGGAACCTAATCAGAAGAAAGAACCTGGCAGACATTACAGCAGATGGGAGCCAATCCGGAGAGGGGGAATTAGCCACTCCGAGGGCGTCGGCGGCAGGCCTCAAGCCGCCAAACAATGAATGAGAATAGTAAGCTGGAATTGTAGGGGATTCGGCTAGTCCCTTACAAGGAGCTATTGCGGCAGGCTGTGCCGCCAGTTTGGCCCCTCAATCCTCTTCCTCATGGAAAAAAAAAGATGACTCTTTCATGGAAGACAAGAGGAGAGCGATGAGGTTTGATCATGCAGAGTATGTTAGTCCAGCTGTTGAAGGTTCTGGTTTAGCTTTATGGTGGAATGACGATGTTGAGGTCTGTGTCCTTGACCGTTGTAAGTCCTTTATGGACATTAGTGTGAGTCAAAATGGAGTAGTTATTTTTTGTACCCTGGTCCATGCCCCTGCCACGGCGGTAGAGAGGAGGACCCTTTGGGATCGACTCACGATCCTGAGGGCTGCCCAGGAGGAGTCTTGGCTAATTGTTGGTGACCTCAATGTAGCCGTGCTCCCTTTTGAAAAGCAGGGGCGTTGCCCCCTTCGAAATGAAAATGTGGTACATTTCAAGAATTTCATCGACAGTAATGGTTTGGTTGATCTTGGCTTCTCCGGGGAGGTGTTCACGTGGTCCAATAACCAACAGGGTGACGATTTAATCCAGGAAAGGCTCGATCGAGCCCTTTGCACATCTACCTGGATAAGATCCTTCGAAAAAGCAAGGGTCTTCCATGAGGACTTCGTCGAGTCCGACCACTGTCCGATTAGGGTGGACCTCCACCATTCAAAACCATCCAACTGCACCCCTTTCCGTTTTGATAAGCGATGGAAGGAAAGTGAGGAATGTAAGCAGATTATCTTTAACAGGTGTGCTGCTGGGGGCACTGTGCAAGGAATCCTGACTGACTGCCAAAGGGATGTACTTGCTTGGGCAAAAATGGACAGGATTATTTCACTGAGAAGAGAAAAGGAAATAAGAAAAAGGCTACAAGAACTAAAAGGACCCATCAGGAATCAGGCACTGGTCGATGAGGAGATGTTCCTCCTTTGCGAGCTTGATAAATGGTGGAGCTCGGAAGAGTCCTTCTGGGCAAAAAGGTCAAGAAACTGCTGGCTTCAGAAAGGTGATCAAAACACTGGGTTCTTCCATGCCTCTACAATCCGAAGGAAACACAGAAACAGAATTCTTAAACTCAAGGATGCCAATGGAAACTGGATCGACAAACCTCAGGAACTTGATGATCACGTCAATGAATTTTATAGAGACCTCTTTAACAGTAAAGGAGGGATGTTTGATCAGTCATTATTGACAGGTTTCCCAGACTTGGTTACAGAAGAAATTAATGGAGCTCTAGCAGTCCAGGTTACTAGAGAAGAAATCCGCAAAGCAGTTTTCCAGCTCGGACCGAATAAAGCCCCAGGCCCTGATGGGTTCCCAGGCCACTTCTTTAGGAGTGGCTGGACTTACCTGGGGGACACTTTCAGCAATGAGATTCTTGAGTTCTTCACGTCAGGAATCATGAAGGATGGTTGGAATGATACCTTTATCACACTAATCCCCAAAGTGGACCAACCTGAGATGACTGGCCAATTCAGACCAATTAGCTGTTGTAATTTCAGGTATAAAGTCATCACGAAGATTATGACCAACAGATTTCAACCGTGGCTACCTAGCCTGGTTAATGAGCTCCAATCTGCCTTCACAGGGGGAAGACAAATCCAAGACAACATTGTTATTGTGCATGAAGTCCTCAACCATTTCAAAAAGAATAAAACGAGAAAGAGCAAGGAGATGATGATGAAGCTCGACATGAGGAAGGCCTATGATCTGGTGGAATGGGATTTCCTCATTAACCTCCTCAAAGCATATGGCTTCAATGATACCTGGTGTGGATGGGTTAGGGCGTGTATCTCGACAGTAAAGTTCAGGCTACTGTTCAATGGAGAGCCATCGACCGAGTTCCATCCATCGCGAGGCATCCGCCAAGGGGACCCCCTGTCCCCCCTCCTCTTCATCCTAATGTCAAATGCACTTTCTTTCATGATTGAAAAGGCTGCACAGAGACAGATTATCAAAGGCATCAAATTGAACAGGCTTTGCCCAGTCCTCACGCACTGCCTCTTCGCGGATAACACTGTTAATTTTGGAAAAGCTTCAGTTAGGGAAGCTGAAGTCATCCTGGGCATTCTCAACGACTATGGATCGATTACAGGACAAGAGGTCAACAGGGATAAATCGTCCTTTTTCTTCAGTGCCAATGTCCCCCATCACGAACAAGAGCTAATCACCCAAAGTTCTGGTTTTGCGGCTGATACTTGCCACTCCAAGTACCTTGGAGTCCCCACAGACTGGGGTCGCTCAAAGAAAGAAACGTTCCAGTTCCTCCTACAGCGTATGGAAGCCAGAGGAGAGTCCTGGAAGAGTCTCCTTCTCTCCCCTGGCGGAAAAGAGGTACTTCTCAAGGTAGTCTTCCAAGCTGTTCCATCTTCCATCATGTGCCTTTTCCTTCTCCCACGCTCAACAACAAAGCGGATGGATTCCATGCTGAAGAATTTTTTCTGGAGTGGGTCACTGTCCAAGAAAACCATCCATTGGAGAGCAGGCAATGTGTTGTATGCCCCTAAGGAGGAAGGAGGCCTCGGTTTCCGCCCTTTCCACACTGTCAACCTTGCCTTATTGGCCAAGCAGTCCTGGAGAGCTATCACCAGCCCGGATGCTCTGTGGGTGAAGGTTCTGAAGAGCATTTACTTCCCGAAGTCTGATTTCTTGAATGCAAAGAAAGGTGGAAAAGCGTCCTGGATCTGGGCTAGTTTATGGGAGGCGAAGAAGTGGATGAAACAGGGTATTATCAGGGTGATTGGTAACGGTAAATCGACTAGGATGTTCCAAGACCCGTGGAGGTTTTATAGGCTGGGACCTCTTCTCCAGTTTGAGTGGCCTGATGTTTCGACTGTTGACCAATGGATTGATGGGATCAACATAGCTTGGAGATTCGACCTCCTCGCTGATTACCTCAGCCTAATGGAGCTCCAACAGGTTTCTGCCACCCCGATCGGCCCCGACTCCCTTGAGGATATCTGGGCTTGGAGATTCACAGACAATGGAGATTTCTCGGTGAAATCTGCCTTCCACCTCTTCCACAATCAAGTTGGGATGGAACAGAATAATCAGGTTGCTGATACTTCTAGCAAAGAAAGGTGGAATTGGCTTTGGAGCCTTTCCCTTCCTCCGAAACTTAAGTTCTTTGTGTGGAAATGTACAAGGGGGGCACTGGCATCAAAAGAGAACCTGTACTCCCGAAGCTGTCAGTGACCAAATCCTGCCCCATTTGTATGGACAGTACAGAATCGATCCATCATATTCTCTTCAACTGCCCCCACGCGGCAGCAGGATGGTCGCAAGATTGGCCCTCACTGGTCTTCCCTCCCCTGCTCACCCCCATCTTGGAATGGCTCTTCTCTTTGCAGGCCAAGTACAATACTGGCTTGATCCAAAAAGTTATTTTCCTTATGTGGCAAACGTGGAGAACGAGAAATGAGTTCATTTTCAGGGACAAGACCCCTTGGCCCCCGTCCACGAGCTCCCGAGCTCTTCTGGCCTCCCAACAATGGAACGAGTGTCCCAGGAAACCACCAATAGCAACCCCGCCCATTCAGCTAGCTCCATCCATGGATCATACTACTCCACCGCCAAGTATTCATGAGTTTGAAATACACTGTGATGGTTCCTTCTTTGAAGCATCCCAGGAGGCGGCTTATGGCGTCGTTGTCACAAATGCCCATGGACAAGTTTGTGACGGGTTGGCTGAACCCCTGCATTGTTTTTCTCCTATTGAAGCAGAAGCGAAAGCATTACTGAAAGGAACCCTCGTTGCCGCCAGCATGCACAGCCCTTGCCTGGTCAGGTCTGACTGCCTTTCCCTTGTCAATGCTCTTCAGGGGCAACATCAGTCCTGGCCTTGGCGAGCTTCAGTGTGGCTCGGTAGCATCAGGAAAGCGCTCGAAGAGCACCCTTTGATCACGATCTCCCACATCAAACGGATTGACAACGCGAAAGCTAACTGGGTGGCTCGATCAAGAGCAAAGAACATTTTGCCTCTTCAGTGGGTTCAGGTCCTTGATGTAATTTCCCATCTTTTGTAACTCACTGGCTTCAGCCGCAATTAATAGAAAAGCATTGCCTTTGGTAAAAAAAAACTAAACCAAGTTATACAGTCCGATTTTGGGGTGAAACAAAAAAACCCGGACCAAAAAGCCAGCCCTATCACCTAGCAGCGAGAAGTGAGAACAGTAGTAGTGTGGGTGTGGGGTGGGTGTGGGTGGAGGAGTATATAAATACCTGTCAGTTTCAATCTGGAATTCTGGCTACTCCATTATTGTTCTTCTTTGTCCCCATTGATATTTCTTGGTCCTCGCTCGCCGCATCTTGGACCCGCTAACCTTGCAGCTTCGTCTCTCTTCTTCTTTGACCCCTTCTCTCAGCCACTCGCTATTCCTTCCCCACTTCGCCGATTCCCTCTTCCCCCTCTGCCTCCTCCGCTTTCCATTGCAGCACCGTCTCCGCCTGTTCAGATCGACCACAACTGTTGTCTGGTTCGATTGAGGTCCTTTCCGCTGAAGCTCTTACACTTCTTTTTGGTTGGTAATTCCTTAATTGATGGGTTTTTTTTTCTTTTTCAAAATCGTGCAGATTGACAGTTGACAATCGGCCGTAGTCTTGGAGACTTTAAGCTGCAACAGATCAGCAAGCTCCGTGATTCCTTCCAGCCTTTGGTAATTCCTCTGCCTTTCTGTTTCTTCTTTAACATTGGAGTTGATTTGAGAAAGTTCTGCAACTTCACACTTTGCTTTGGCAATAGTCAATAGGCAAGCACTGTGTATCATGGGTTGGAGCCACGGTTTTGTGCTGTAGACTTCTCTATTTTGTTGTTTATAATGGCGACTCAGTATTATTAATTAATAGAGTTCAAAATTTTAATACAAGAACAAATAGGATATGGACAATTACATAACGCCAGCAGATAGGGGAGCAAGTAGTATGTAAGGGAGTAGCCACAGGAAAATGGGTTGCTTTGAATTAGTCAGGCAATCCCCTACTGCAAGACATAACCAAATCGATTCCCTTTTAAGACACATTGTATGAAGATAGATGTCTAAACCGAACTCCCCAGGCATTGCCAAGGCATAGTTTTGCATCCATGTTCGCAGACTTCATCAACTCTGCGACTCTGCAAGCCAGCAGGCAGGTTGCTGTCGATTTCACCATATTATCAGTGGGATGACACGAGTTAGCAACTGTAGATAGTTTAACGACATTTTGGATAAAAAACTACATGAAAGATAAAAAAAAACTAGCCAACTTTACGCCTTGGAGAGAAGATCTCTTAGTAATATAGCGTGCTTGATTATCTATGGTCTGTGTACATATATGAATTACAGAGGTGTGGCTAATCTAACAATATGTTCAGGTCGCATACTTTCCCCCATTCAACCATTTTCCATGCTTAGCTCACCATCCGTGTAAATTCGAGTATTCCTGTGCCTGATCAGAAATGGAGTCTTGAAATCTATAGGTTCATTGTTCATATGAGATGGATAATGTTCAAATTTTCTTCGGTCTCCGTTTAGCATTATTCCGTGGTATGAGATTTGGGTTGTGTTTCCAACAACTAAGGTGGCATAAGATTGGTTGATATTTTAGGCAAGGAATAATGCGCTAATCGTACTTATATCTATATCTATCTTTGTCTGATACTTGTATTTTCAAGTTTCTGTTTCAGATCAGCGTTTCCAGCTTCAATGTTGTTTACTGCACTAATAATATTAGATGTAACAATCATATGAATATTTCTTTTTTTTTTTTTTTTTTGATAATGGCGATGAAATTTATTTCTAAAAGAACAGAAAGTAAACAAAGCACTGTACAGACAAAGGAGACATATGAATATTTCTTTAAGAAATAGTGATATCATAGTTCGACTATTGTCGTTTATTGTTTATGTCCAGCATTTCCTGCTTGAATTCTTTGTTTTATCTCTTCCTTCCCAGGGTGACACCAACCAAAGCTCCATTTTGTTTGTTTCATCCATTTCCTTTGTTACAATCCTATTTTGGAATAATGCTTTCTTTATGTACTTTGAACTACTGTGTGCTTCAATTTCATATTCAAGGCTTCAATTTCAGATCCAACTAGAAGCCCTCAATATGGTTTGACTGATTTCAGCTATCACTCAGCCGCAATATTGGCTAAATTCTAACACAGCATTGAAAATAAATTGCTGAACAAGTGAATATCTCTTCCATCGCTGTCCCTTTGAAGGATGATCTATCCAAGGACTAGTGGAAATGTTTGATGAATATAATTGCATTGTTTGCTCTCTTGCTTAGTTTGGAATGTAGTCAACCATAATCTCCAAAATCTTCTTCCTTGAATGGCTGCTGATGGATGAAATCCAACCAGCTGTTATTCCTTGAATGGTTGCTGATGTATCTGCTGGATTATCTTGAATGCTTTATATTCAATTAGTGAGCTGTTTTCCCCCTAAAGTAGAAAGCTGGAGAATATGAGTAATTAGTGAGCGACCTATTTTTGTTATTTGTCCTGACTACCCTGAACAACTTTCTGTTCACAGTTTGGATGGCCTCAGTTTTTCTGTATCACGTAGTGGGAGATCTAACTGTGGGGAAACCAGAGCTGGTCGAACTCTGTGAGACAGAGACTATCGAGACAGCCATAAGGGCGATTGGAGATTCCACTGAGTGTGGGATTCCAGTGTGGAAGAGGAGACTGAGTTTAATTGAAACCAGTGAGATCAGGCAGCAAAGGTTTGTGGGTATTCTTAATTCTCTCGATATTGTCGCTTTCCTGGCTAGACAAGAATGCCTAGATGATCAGGACAGGGCCATGAAGACACCGGTTTCAGAGGTGGTTGTTCAGAATAATTCTTTACTGAAACAGGTCGATCCTGCAACAAGGTTAGCTCTTCGCTCTTATGTTCTATTTGTTTCTAGGAATTGCTTCTTTCTGTTGGATCTCTGTCCTACCCAAATTTTTCTTCGGTTGAACTGAGAAACAGACCTCTGCGTTAGATTTGACTATGTATAATTGATATTTATATTCAGCTATTCGACCCAGACCAGAGCAAATATTGTAAAATACCTGGATAATTGGTTTGTATGTAGTCAAACAGGCTAGTCAGTTTCTCCACTAATTGGACACATTTTTTATTTTAGAAGTTCTTGATAATAAGATATCCAGAACGAAAAGAACTAGGGTTTTGGTGATTTGTTTAAAAGACAATTAGGCAAGTACTTTGATGGTGATTTTAGGATTGCACTTCTGTCAGTGGTATGATCTTGTTGCGGGTTTCGATTGTCGCAAATTGGTTGATGAATTGAGTCAATAAGATTCTGGATTCAGTTAGTTCTTGTTTTGGGCTGTTGTGGTTGAAGATTAGAAATGTGATGGTAAGGGAGGCAACAACGTTGCTGGTAGTGGACATAACCATCACAATATGCGTGATAATGAGTAAAGTAGGAGATCATATATGTTTTCCCAGGGAAGATAACCTTTTAAGGCAACTTAATCTTAGTTCCAGTCAATGCACGGATTTTTTTGGTGTAGAGAATGATTCTTATTTGCTTTTAGAAGTATACCAAAAGAAGGGTCTATTTATGCATTTTTCCGGTTTTATAGCTGTATGCGAAAGGTGATATTAGGGCAGTTAAAGATGACACAAAACTGGTTTTCTTGCTGCATGAGGTTGTGCCATTAAATTGGACAATAAGGATCAATGAATACAGCAAAGATAACGCGTGAAGGGTTCTACATGTAGATGTTGTAGATTATCGCTCACTAAAATTGGCAAAGATTGACATGTTTCCCCCCCTCTTGTTTGTGGTAGGCTGATTGACGCATTAGAAATGATGAAGCAAGGAGTGAGACGACTTCTTGTCCCAAAGACCAAAGGTTGGAAGCGCGTAAGCAAGAGATTCTCGATGTTCTACAACGGAAGATGGCTGAAGAGCCTTGAAACACCAAACAGCAGTACAAATACACTGACCATGAATGCATCAAACCTCCCTTCATCTTCCTCCCCGCCAACTATTCCCACCGACAAATTCTGCTGCCTATCAAGAGAAGATGTCATCCGCTTCCTCATCGGCTGCCTCGGTGCTCTAGCTCCAATCCCTCTCTCCTCCATCTCCTCATTGGGAGCCATCAACCCAAACTATAGTGTTGTTGACTCCTCCCTTCCAGCCATTGAAGCAACCCAAATGTCCCCTGACGACCCCAGCGCAGTAGCTGTCGTGGAGCCCGGGTCATCGGATGGACGGCATAAGATAATTGGCGAGATATCGGCTTCCAGGTTGTGGAAGTGTGATTACTTGGGAGCAGCGTGGGCTCTAGCGAATCTCTCTGCTGGACAGTTTGTAATGGGGGTGGAAGATAACCATCATACTCCAAGATCGTCTTTACCTGATTTCTCGGTTGATTTGAGTAGTAATGGTGGTGGGGGATCAATGAGGGCTAGGAAGTTCAGTAGTAGGAGCGTTGGGTTTAATGCTGCAAACACGAGCTTTGGAGCTGGTAGGAGCATGTATAGGGGAAGAAGTGCCCCTCTGACCTGCAAAGTGAAGAGTTCTTTAGCAGCAGTTATGGCTCAGATGTTGTCCCACAGGGTGACTCATGTGTGGGTGACTGAAGATGATACAGAGGATGTTTTGGTTGGGGTGGTTGGCTACGCCGATATTTTGGCTACTGTCACTAAACATCCTGCTAATGCTGTCTTGTCCGGAAGTTGATTCTTCCTGCATAGAGGGCTCACTGCTTTCTTTGCATGTGTCGTCAAGTACAGAATAAGATTGAGGATGTGGGACTTAAGGATAAGGCGCTGTATTACTTTTCTGTCTTCATGCTGAAGAAAAAACTTGTAAGATATTCTTCCTCGGAACCAACAACTTTACTTCAATGGTTGTGTTGTATACAGAGCGAAGATAGAAGGATGAGGCTGTGGGAAGAAGTTTTTTTGTGAAATTATAAGGCGAATTTCGGGTTTTAAATATTCATGTTGAATTTGTCTCCATTGGATGTAAGTCCCTGAGAAAGTTATGAGTGAATGTTCAGTAATTTTCTGCTGCAGATTGAGCAATCAAAACTGCAATGAGACTGAGTGAATGTTCAGTACTTTCTTAGCAATTCTGCAATGCGACTATGCAGTATTCAAGAGAATGGCTACTTGATTAATAGGGATTGTTCTCGAAACTGAGGTAATTTGAATATAATCAATGTTTGTTGACACTGGAGAAAATTCGAGGATGCTGACAGGGACAAAATATGTGGATGAATGATACAAACACATTATGAAAATCTCATCTCCATTCCTTCAATAAACCATTTCATCTTCTTAATTAACTCAAATAAAGAGAGAAATAAGTCATGGCTTCTCTAATTAGAACAATGCACACTTCATTAATCATAATCTTCTTCACTACTTCTACATTCGTCATTAGTAGCGGTTCGCGAATGTTGTGTCGCCAGTTCCTGTGATGAAAAGTGCTGTAATAAACTTATAATACTAACATCTACAATTCTTCTACATGCATGCTATGCTTTGTTCGCTAGGATGTCATTCCCTCTGTCAAAGACCATTTACCATGTCAGCTGCTAACTCTCTGCAGCAACCAACAACAGCAACAGCTCTCCACACCATGAGCCTGATCACTAGATATTCACTGCTTTGTTTTAGATATGGAGGGCTTGGTTATTAATCATTGAATGGTTTGTTCAAAGAATAAAAAAGGGCAACTAAGGCAAAGCTTGAACAGAGAAGGGTCGAACCGACTGAGGTCCTCTCAATCTCCTCTCCACTCTTGGTTCCCATAAAAGTAGGCGATGGGTTGGGTTGGCTTTTCCAGGAAGGATGATGCAATTCTTTTGATGAATGAATTAGGCATCAATACCACCCAAATACTATTACATACTAGTACAGTACATTCTTGCAGATTACAAGCATCAATATCTGTGTCTGCTATCTTCTGGAGTGCATGAATTACCTTAGAACACAACCCTTTCACTATCTTCTGCTTCTTAACAGGACGCTTGAGGTCTCAAGGCAGTTGTGGGCTTTCATTGCTGCTGGTGCTGGTGTTGTTCTGAACAAAACGAGCTGTAACTTCCATCATACATACCTCGCAATTCCTCGTACCTTGGAATTGGAATAGGCCAGCAAGAGAGCCGCTGCTCGAACACCCTCCAACGTGGGGAAGCTTTACTTATTTTACAGAAGATCTCAGACTCTCCGCTCCTCAAATTGCAGGACCAAATAGCAGACTCGCTGGCTTGACTATAATCAATGAACCGCAGAAAGACAATCTCCGGCTTCCCTGGATGCAGATCGATTACTTCGACCTCATGCTTCGGCTTGTGCTTAAACCTGGACAAGTCTACCTTGGTTTCGTATCGTCTACTCCAAGATTTACGATCTTCTTCCAGTCTCCAAACACTCAAGAGGCTCGGGCCACCACATGAGCTACGTTTCAGTTCAAATACAACTAGGTGCAAAGCATCTTGCGAGACCCCGAAATTCCACAAGGTTTTCTGAGAGAATGATGCCGTACTAGCATCAATATGTGTTGGAGGTATATCAAGCCGGAAAGGATTAACAGCAGCCAGCAAAGGAATCGACCCGGCAGCATCTTCAAATTTGTTTCCAAAATAGGTCCAAAACAACTCCCCGTTGCACGAGATCACGGTTTTCGAATAGATGTCGCCATAACCACTGAAATTAAGAGCATCCTTGATCCATTTCCCGGACTCGGAACAAAACACGTCTACCCTTACAAACCTCGTCGTCGACTGATGCATGCACACCACGCGAAATCGATGCCGAACAAGTGATTGTCCGCCTTGACTGCAACCGCGGGGTTCACAAACTAACCTTGCAAGGGTGATGAAGAAGTATCTCGGTGGCATTTCGGGGGCTAAAGGAAGGGCCATCCATTGCTTCGTAGACGGATTGCAGAGCAAGTAGGATCTGTCAGCTTCGCAATTCGGGCTGGCGAGTAATTCTGCAAACCCGCATAAAAGCAAGTCCTTGAAGGCGTCGAAGATCCGGAAATCCTTTCGAAGTTCATCCGGGACGGGGAGGAAGCTCAAGAAAGTGTCCGAGGGCAGCAGAGGCGTTTCGATGTGGTTTCTGTGATGATCGAAACGGGGTACGAAGTAGGGGTCGGAGAGCAGAGAGTTCCATTGCTTGCATACGAGTTTGCAGCGGCAGCGGGAGCTAGGTTCCGGGACTCGAATGAGAACTTCGACGAGGAGATCGTCTCTCAGTTTGCTGATCATTGGAGGAGGAGCTGGAAGAGCAGGGTTTGCTTCTGAACTCTGTTTCTCGAGGGGCAGGGGATAAAACGTGAGCTTAGCTTAGTGGAGATTCGGAGCCGAATGGATGCAGTTGTCGATCGGCAGAGCAACAGACGGATGAAGGGAAGGAAGATGATGGCGCAGATGGTGGGAGGATTCGGTAATGGACGATTTATATAAGAAAAACTGATCGATTTTGTGTGTGTTAGGAACTGTTTGATACTTTGAGGTTGTTTCGGTTTGTGTTGCCTTCTCCGACTCCGTTTCGGACTGAGACTGATCCAATGTTAGTATGCTTTTTTTATTCTTTAACTTTTTTTTTGGGTACACTTTTATTCTTTAAATGAGTGGATCATTAAGAATGCAATGGGCTAGGCCCAAAGGAAAAGATACATACAATATATAGGACAAGGGCTGAAAATCAAAAACCCGGAATCACAATAGGGCCCAACGCCATGAACCAAAAGATATTTCCTCATTCACACTTTATATCATAATTTTTTTTTGTCAATTAACATATTCGAAATTTATTCAAAAGACAATTTTCTTCCACCAACAAATAAAACTACACATATCTTTTGGTACTCACCCTCATTAGGCATGTAACCACATCAATGTTTATATGAAAACTCTAGCCCGACTTCATGAATTGGCTTTCATGAATGATAGATATGGTCAAATACTCTATAAGATAAAATAATTAAATAAGTAAAATAATCTACAAAATCGATGTTCAAAAAGTCTTTTCTTTTAAACTCGCCATGGGCTCGTTCATGTTGAATTGTCAAGAGAATTAAGCAGTGAACTGAACTAAATTGTTTATAGAACTCGTCACTTATAGTTTGCACAAAAATATTATTGTTTTATGGTAGTTCTAAAATTTAAATATAATTTAGGAATTTGACATTGCTTCTTCACATTCAATACTCATTTCCATACCCAATATTCGAACCAATGGTTTGGTTGTTGATTTTAAAAATATCATCCATTTAGAAAAATAGAAATTATTAAATTTGAGTTAAATATCAAACACAAAAAAATTCTTACATGAGAGTTAGTGGTCTAGCTAACCATACTGAAAAAGTCATATGATTTTCAAATATTAGGTTTTTGTAGCAATTTAGTTTTGAAAGAGACAATAAATTTGTTTAGTATGATTGTTAATGATTATTGTCTCTATGTAAAGACACCATGGTTCAAAACTTCAAATCCCGAGTTTTTTTTATGAATAAAAAAAAATTTAAAGACAAATCTACACTTCCTATTTTCGCTCTCGTTATAAATGCTGAAAAGTTGCTCCCAACTTTGCTATATTATATTTTTTTTATTCATGTTTACTACTAGACTCGTTGATAATTCAACTAAACCACGGAACTTGATATAAAAACTCACCATCCATCACGTTCGTTCCAAATTAATTGAATGTCATCTTAATAGTGCTGACAAAGCGCTAAAGGTGATGACATGGCAACGCACACCGATGGACAAGAAATAAATAAATAACTATTGAGAAAAATATACGCTTCCTATTTTCTCTCTCGTTATAGGAAATTTGAAATGCTGAAAAACTGCTCCCAACTTGGCTATATTATATTTGTTGATTTATGCTTACTACTAGACTCGTTAATAGTTCAACTAAACCACTGAACTTGATATAAAAGGTCGCCATCACGTTCGTTCTAAATTAATGGATGTCATCTTAACATGGGCTGACAAAGCACTAACGGTGATGATGTGGCAACGCCCATCGACGGATAAGAAATAAATAAATAATTGTGTAGAAAAAGTTGTTATGAAAAAAGCTATACAATGCAACACATTTCATCCAGATGTGCAGTAAAAGTTGATCTAAAAAAAGCTTTTGATTCTCCCAACTGGGATTATCTGAAGTGTGTCATGGTTTCGATGGGGTTCCTGATTTGTTTATGAAATGGATAGATGCTTGTTTAGGCACAACTACATTTAGTATATCAATCCATGGGAATCTGTTTGGGTTCTTCAAGGCTGCAAAGGGTGTTAGGCAGGGGGCCCCTCTTTCCCGTACCTCTTCACCATTGCTATGGAGCCTCTCACTCGGATGCTCAATTCAGCCGCTAAGAATGGTTATATGTCTTATCATCCTCGTTGTAAGAATCTGGATTTGACTCACTTGAGTTTTGTAGAGGATTTACTTATATTCTCAGAGGGGTCAGCTTTTGCACTAAATGGTCTCGGGGGTGCTGAATGAATTTTATTGTTTTTCTGGGTTACAATGTAATCTTGACAAATGTGAAGTTTTCTTTGGAGGTTATGCATACCTATTTAAAGATAGCTTTAAGAATCTCAGGTTTCCTGGAGGGTATTTTGCTAGTAAGATATCTAGGTCTCCCTCTGATTGCTGGTAAGCTTTCCAGCCATGAGTGCAGTGTTTTGATTGATAAGATTACAAGCAAAATCCGTAGCTGGAAAGGCAGTAAGTTGTCATATGCAGGAAATATCCAATTGGTTGAGGCAGTTCTTTATTCTCTGATACACTACCAGATGACTATCTTAATTCCTTCTACCAAAGAAGGTTATGAAGAGTGTGCAAAAAATTTGTTCAGATTTTATATGGCATGAGAGGGAACAGAGAGTGCTAAGGTGGCCTGGGATTTCTTGGAATTTCCCAGAAGAGAAGGTGGACTGGGAGTAAAAGACCTTGTCTCCTGGAATTAGCATATCTTGTCAGGTTAATCAGGCTGCTTCTTCTCCAAGGAGAGAGTTTCTGGGTGGCTTGGATATCACTCTACAGGCTCAGAGGAGTCACTGTGTGGGAATCCAGGGTTACCTCTGCAGGATCCTGGATCTGGAAGCAGATCATGAAGATCATA